CCACGGCCCCACAGACACCAGAGACCCCGGGACAAGGCCGGGTACCCTGTGAGACCCCCAGGCAGGGTGCTGGGGGCTGGGCTGTGCCCACTGACCCACACCGTACCTTGCAGTTTTGGCACATCCCCCCAATAAACAGAGGGTGCTCCAGGGTCACGTTGAGGCTCCCACAGGAGATGCAGATGTCTGGGAGCAGGAGGAGAGATGTCACTTGCAGCACCCTGATCCCTGTTCTGCTGCCCTGACACATGCTCATCCCCATGCTGGGGTCACACCAGAGCTGGGGACCAATCCTGGGGACAGCAAGCTGTCACCATCCCCCTGTGCCCACCCTGGACCCCAACAGCCCCCTCAGCCCCAGGCAGTGTCCCAGGGGTCCCTGCCACAATCCAGGATGGGTCACTGCCACATCACAGCTGCTGTCCTTGCTGCCAGGAGTGGGACAAGCCTTATTGTGTTCTCTTAAGCCCTTCCTGTGGCTCTGAGCCCCTTCTGCTCCCCTGCTCTGCTCCAGGTGCCCAGGCAGGGAGGGACCCTCACCCCAGCCCACGATGGGGGGCAGAATGTGCCCCAGTCCCACACTCACCTTCGATGTTCCTGCACTTCTGCCGGACCTCGTACACCAGCCGCTCTGGGGGAAGAGAGGGAGATGAGGCCCCAGCCAAATTCCTTGTGGCATGAGGTGAAGCAAGGGGACCCCCCAGGAGAGAAGGACCCCAATGGAGAAGGGAAGATGGCCTGAAGCAGGTCTCACCCCCTTGGCTTTCCTGCAGGGAGCACGGCCCTGCCGGCACCAAGACCCTAGTGGGGTTCATAGCCAAGCCAAGCCCCATGGAGAGGGGATGGGCACAGGGGCATCCCCAGCCCCCAAAGTACCTCGGGTGCGCTCGTCGATGATCTCCTTGACCTTGGGCTTCTCCTGGGTTGTGCTTTTCCGGGGTTTTTTGGCGGGTGGGGGTGGTGCGTAGGCGGCTGCTTCGGGCTCTACCCACATGTCCGTGTAAACTTCTTTGTAGGGGTTCCGCTCCTCTGCCAGAGCAGGAGGGGCTGTCAGTGGGGTCCTCCCAGTGTGGTACCCTGAACAGGGAGGTCCCAGGCCCTGCCAGCCTCACGGTGCTCACCCTGCCCATCCCACACCACCCTGACAATGCTGAGTGACCCCCAGGACCCCTGGCCGAGGCCACTGGGCAGGTCCTCACCCCACACAGGACTCAGTGCCCCTCTCACCTTCCGGGGGCTCCAGCCCCTTGGGGCCGGAGGGCTGGAAGCCACCCAGGGCCCACTCGATCATCTGCTTGTTCTGGATCTCCACCACCTTGGACGTGTCTGTCTCATCGTTCTCGGGGCATGCAGGGAAGATCTTCCCTGCCCTGCTGCTGGCCACCTGCCCAGGGGGCACAGGGGTCACCCACTCATTCCCCAACAAGGGAGTCCCCATCCTCAGCCTCTCCTGGCTGTTTCTGCACTGCCCAGCCAGGCAGCCCCCAGCGCCAGGGGACCGACATAGTCAGAGACCCGCAGCACTGCCAAGAGGCTCTGACACAGTCAGTCCCCCACATCACCCCACGAGACCCCCAACACTGACAGGAGACCCTCTGAATGCCAAGACCTTGCCCACAGCATCACCCCACAAGAGACCCTCAGCACTGCCCAGAAAGCCCCTGAAAGCCAAGACCCATCCTCCCAGATCATCTCAAAGGCACTTCAGCAAGTCCCCAGAGACCTGCTGAATCCCTGACCTCCTCCCCAACTTCCCAACAGACCTCCACACACCTCTGGCTGGGATAAACGATCCCCACACACCCCTACAATCTTCTCAAGGGGTCCCCTTGACCCTTTTAAAAGCCCCCCAGGGTTCAGGAGGAAAGGCAGGGCTGGGTTCTGGCTGGGTAGAGTAGAGGTTGCTGCTCCCACAGTCCCTGTACAAGGTTGGTAGGATGGACCTGCTCAGGCACTGATGTTCCCCTAACCTCTTTGTGCTGGGGGATATTATCACCCCAGTGTCACCTCATGGTGTCCCCACTCACCTGCAGCACCTCATAGATGGCCTTGCGGTACATGGGCTGCTTGTTGTAGGTGGCCTGGTGGAAGGCGCTGGCGAAAGAGCTGAGGGGCAGGAGCTTCTCCACACAGACCTGAGGACAGCACAGAATGCAGCCCTGAGTACACATGGGGACAGCAAGGAGGGGCTGCCCTGTCCTCCCAACCCCCCTAGGTGCCACTTCCCACCGAAAACTTGCCGTCCCCAAACCACATGACCCAGCGTGTGCCCTCGGCCGCGCGGCTCCGTCCAGTCATCCACCAGGACACGATGCGCCCGGGCCACCAGGAGAATCCGCGAAGCTTCCCCCACACCAGCTCACCGATGCCAAACCCGCGCCCGTCCTGCATGGGGGGCCCGGGGGGGGCACCTGGGGACACATACACACGTTTTTCTGTGTCCCCGCAGCCCCCTGGATCCCGGCCCCGGCGCTCACCTCATACTCAGGCTCGTCATCAGCCGACTTGGAGGTGTTCTTGTCGCCAGCATCGGCCACCGCG